GCTTTCCTTGAAAGTGTCAGCAACTTTCTTTTCCTTCCTCTGGATTTGGCAGTCTGTCTCTGGTAGGAAGAGGGTGCTTTGTGTTTCTTAGCCATGTTGATACCTGAAATTGCTCTGACTTGGTCAAAAGACCTGGTTTCAGTGCTGCAGGGAAGTGCTTGGGAGGGCATTGCAGCTGCTCTCCTGCAGCAGCAACTGATCTGTTGTGGGTCCAAACTCAAACACTTAAGAGACATGGCCCCAGGCTATGTCAGACCATGCTGGAGGTGAGAGGACAATTTAGAATTGCCTTTTCTTTGCTGAGTAAGCCTGTTTGAATATGTTGATAAATAAGCAAGAATTTTGCCTGCAGTGTTAGCTCACAGATGTCTGTCTACCTTAATGGTAATTGAGAACTGTAGCCTTTGCCCACTGTGATGTGGCTGTCTCCCATCCTACAGTACTATTGGCTGCATCTTCTGTATAGGATTTTTCTCTAAATTAGAAGTAAATATCTTTAAAACATTGCAAATCAAATAGAAACAATAATCTTCAAGGCAGTGAAATGTGAAGTCTTGGACTCAGTTAATGTTGTATTACTTGTCTTCGAATTTCGTTTGCATATTCACTAGTCAATGAATAACAAGTCTAATGAATAGTAGGGGAAAATAACAATTCTACTTGTTTGGAACATAATGTTTTTCATATTAAAGAATTTAATTTAAATAAATGTTTAATATTCAAGCCGCACAGTAAGCAGTGGTGTAGAAACTGCTTTTTTCTTGGGTGTATGTATTTGTAAGCTATTAATTGTATCCAAAACCAACAGTCTTTGCCCAACAGAACCTGAATTCCAATAGCTTTATGTAGCTTTTCATAGTTTTAATATCATTCCTTTAGCAAAGAACTAGTAGGATTTCTCTTCTCTTTTTGCACAGTGATCATTGCATAATTGATCATTAGGAAGAAGATGGTTGGAGAAGCATACATATCCACAATTATAATTATTTAAAGCTCTTTTTATTACAAAGTAGTGCACAAAGCATTGAGTCAACATTCTCCTTTGTTAGTTCTGTCCAGACTACACAGTGGAAAGACAGGCTTGTTGGTATGCATGTTTTGTGAAGGTATTGAATTATAGTTATGGTGTTTTGTTTAGTTTTTAAATAGAATGTTTGAGTTTCCAATTCTGGATGGTTATTTTCTATGTAAGCAAGGTGGTCAGGACAGGAGGCAGGCTGCTCCTGGCAGTCTCTTCTCCTTACTTGGATTCATCCCATTAATATCAGTTGACTTATTCCTATGTCAGGATGTCATAACTCACTTTGTGGTTAAGTCCTCTCTTGCACACAAACTTTCCCAGTCCTTCTTCTCCCTTCTTTCCCACTTTGGCTGGGCAAAATCCATGGGAGAGATCCATGGGGTAGTGGAGTGATCCATCCTGAAAGCAATGCTGAAGTTCTGTCAGTGGAGTACACATACAAGTCCTGTGTGAGAGTGTTGAAATCCTGCTGTGCAGAAGAGAGATGCTTAGGAATCATTCCTGTCAGACAAGTGTTAGCAGGGGCTCTTTCACTGTTTCCAGGACACCAGAACTGATCCTTTAAAATTTCTTTTGAAATCTAATGTACTACAAAGTAGCTTGAGTGAGTCTGTTATCTGGTTCTTTTTCTACAACCATAATAAGGGAATCCCTCTACACAACCTAGTCTAACCTCCTCCTCAAAGCAGAGTCAGCTTCAAAGTTAGATCAGGTTGCTCAAGGCCTTGGCAAATTGAGTTCTGAGCATCTCCACTGGATCATGTTTTTGTTGGTTTTAATTTGTAGTGTGGATCACCATGTGCTGTTTCCATTTTGCAGTGAGCTCCTCCAGTTTATAATGAGTGGTCCCATTGTTGCTATGGAGATCTTAGGAGATGATGCAGTTTGTAAGTGGAAAACATTACTGGGGCCAGCGAATGCTGCAGTGACTCAGACTGATACACTGGACAGCATCAGAGTGAACTTTGGAGAGAGTGGCCTAAGAAATGCAGCTCATGGCCCAGATTCGGTTGCTTCTGCTGCTCAAGTAAGTTTTTGACTCTTTCTTGACTGAGGTTTATTTTTACTTTATCTGTTAACAAGTGGGTCAGCAATTTCTCATTTTTTTCCACACTTGAGTTCAGAACTAGTTTACATGTTCTTCATGGGTGCTTCATAGCATGGAAAAATAAACCATCTGAAAACAGAAATCTTGTTTATCTCTGTCACAGAGGGGAACTTTGGGCACTTTGATCAGGAGAGCATGCCTGGTCATTTTTCATATCTTTTGTACATCACCAACAATGAGTTAATTGCATAGTCTGCGTAATCTACATATAGTTTACCAATGCTGGTAATAAAAAGCAAGGGATTAAACAATTAAATGCCCTCCTGTGTTTTGATTATCTGTACTTCTTTACAGTCTTCACTAGTCTTCTGCCTGCAGCCTGCTTTGCAGTTATTGTTCAGAGTGAAGAAGTATGAAAACAGGCCACTTTGTAGTGCTCTGAGAGGCAGTACAGTGGACGTGGCTTTGAGGAGTTCGGTTCTCTTTTGCTTTGTTTGCAGTCTGTCTTTCCTTGGTGCTAAGAAGAGATCCTGGGCCTGGGTGATAGATATTACCAGCACTTTTGTAGAATTGTGGTAATTATTTGTGTGCAATGTTGTGGGGTAGATATGCTGATAAGTGATGGCAAGAATAAAGTTTGTTTCATGATTGATTGGTATGTCAATGTGGTATCTTAACTGTTGACTAGCAGGGCAAAGATAGCAGTTGTTGTTTCCTTGATCCTAGTCTTTCCTCTGTAGTACAGATGGAGAGAGACTTCCCTTGGAATGCCTAATAAGCTGCCAAGTAGTGTATACTAGAAAATGTACATAGAGATCATATCCTGGCAGTGAGGGCAGAGTTGGTCAGCCTCCTGTTCTGGTTGGCATTAGGCTCTGTGGTATAATAGGCTAACTGCAAAGCATGGGCAGGTTTCTGCTGTCAAGCTCTCATCTCACTGATCTGCACCAGGCCTGAGCTGCTGGATCCAGTCCGTGTGCCTCTGGTTTTGGCAATCGTGTGCTCGACCTGAAGTACTTTTTCTGCTGGCTGACTTGGTGAAGATGGTAGAGAGTCAGAAAAAGTTTGGATAAGATTGATCTTTTCTAATGAAGGGGAATTACAGTCAGAAAAGTCTTTGAAGTTCTAGTTAAATAGATGTCTTCAAATACATGGGTGAAAGTTTATGTTCCTGTGTACTACCATGACAACTGTGCCAACTTCTGAACCAGGAGTGTAGGAAAGAGTATCTATTAGCATAAAATCTGGATTAGAAGCTTTGGTTTAAGTTTGTTGCTCTTTATGTGTTTCATTGTTTTTTGAAATGCTCTCTGAAGGCTCCATTTATCTGCAGCATTTTTATGGTACTGGGATTATTTTGTTGAACTTCTGCAGGTATGTGCATCTTTGTGGTGTTGCTGATATTGATCTTCAATAAATGAACTAAAATTATGAACTTAATACCCCTGCACGTATTTTAATTTAGTAAGCTCAGTATTACATGGCTGTATAGCAGTTGCTATGGAAACTAGTTGGCTGTGCCTTGCAGAAGCTTTGCTGAAAAGAAAGAAATATAAGATAAAGGGACCCAAATGAACTCTTTTGACAGAAAACTGAAGCCTCAACCACATTTAATGACCATACTGTAAACTGAACAGGTGGAGTGGAAGGCTGCATTGTTCTCCTTGGGGGCAAAATGCAAAGTGAAAACATGCCTCAGGTATACTCTGAGCTGCTGTCTCTCTGCTGGCCAAATTTTGTAATTTCTTTAGATAAGAATAAAGGGAAAGGAAAAGAATTTCGCTTTTTTTAAGGCTCCACATGGTTATAGTTTGGCCTTTCATTTTGTTAGTCCTTCACCATTATTGAGTTGGTTTCCTTTTGTGAATTTTAATGGATAAAACTAGGTGTTAAATATTATAAATATTTTGCTGCCTTTTCCTGGCTACTTCTTTTAGAGTAAACATTAGTTAACAGAGTGGGATAAGGTCTTTGAAGCATGCAACATTTCATCAGTAGAAGAATGCAGGAAATGAACCCTTTGGTCTCAGATATGCCCACATAAAATGTGTGTCACTTGCTAGAGGAAAAAGAAAAATTGTTTTCCTGCCCATTGAAAGATCAATTTGTTTGAATTGTATAATTGTTCAAGTAAGGATTACAGAAATCACCCAAGTGCCATGAGCTAAGGACTGGGAGATAGGTAAGTCTATTCCATTTGAATTGATCTAGTAAATTAAAGAAGACAATTCCAGGAAATGGCCTTTAGCACTGCTGCTGTTAGCCAGGGAAAAAAGCCCAAATAGGTTTCGTAGTAGTATTTCCTGGTTATTATTTTTTCTCTTAAATAGAAATTTATGAATTCTCTTACTGAATTTGACCAATAGGTATAAAATGGAATCTGTGTTTTGCATGTTTGTTAACTGGCAGATTGTGTAGCATATATGAATAAATGATATGGAAAAAGTGTGATGCTGGCAGTGACCAGTGAATAAATATCACTGAAACCTGTCAAGCTTCCCCCAGTATGGTGTAAGACCAAAGCTATATGATACCTAAGTAGTGATGGTGGGAAGAAAGAAAGAAAGTGATCAGAGGCAAAAAGCTTATTTTGATTTATCCTAGATATCAAAGTAATTGAGTTAATCAGATTCAATTCAGTAAGATTTTAAAAAATCCAATAAGGTCAATAAGGCATGAGAAGTGAGTTAGCAATTTTAGACAAAGTTTGATTGTTTAAGCTGAAAGGAAAAAATGTAAACAAATGGGATGGAGGTCAGTTTTGTATATGGAAACAGTACAGGCTGAGAATGGATGGTAGCTGCATATTTGCTTGCATAGTGGAAAAGATTATTTGAAAAGAGGGAAGATAAAATATGTGTATATGGGATTGGATTTGGGAAAAATACTGAGGAAAAAGGTAATTCGAAATACTGGGAACACCTAACCAAATGATTGTGGCAGCAGCATTTTGAATGCTCCGAGTATAAACAGATTGCACTTCTGAAGTGAAAAGAAAAACGCTGCAAGAAATATTCAAATTATATTTTTATGATTGTAGCAATGGTGCCAGAGGGGAAAAGATCTATTTGAGATAACATTACAGGGAAAAAGTATTTGTAGCACAAAAACCTGTAATTAGGGTTTATCTTCTGTGACTATTGATACTTCAGATGTTGTTATTTATGATAAAAGCTGATGTGTGCTGCTAGATCAATCTAAAATGTATTCAATTACAATTGTTTTCAGGAGCTGGAGTTTTTCTTTCCCTCCAGAGGAGGTCGTGGACCACTCAACAGTGCAAAATTCACAAACTGTACTTGTTGCATTATTAAGCCTCATGCTGTTAGCGAAGGTAAGCGATGCAGACAGTGAAGGTGAAATCCGTGTGTGTTTCATTGTATCCATGATAATTCCTGTGCCCTTTACTTGGGAGAATCAGACAGCAAGAGCACAGGGTATATTTCATAGTACATGCAAAAGTATGCAGATACATTGTCTTTTATATATATATATAGATGTATTTTATATTTTTGCAGTTCAGTTTCATGAAGAGTGAGTGGGTCATGTGCTTTCCATGCACATACTTGTTAACTTCAGAATAAGAAGGGAGAGGTGAAAATGAGAAGGATACAGATATAGATGAGATTTGATGAATCTTATTGTGACAGCTTACCATGCCCTTGCTTCTGTCTGCCCACCACAATCATCTGCTGGAGGTTAGCATCCTCACAAAAGAGTGAAAGCAGGATGCCTGGTGATATTTCCGGGCCTTCCACTCATGCAGTAACACATTAAATTAAAGCTACTCACAAAGGGAGATATGTGCTGATAGGGATCTTGTTCTGCTGAATGCAGTGGGGATGGAAAGTAGAAAAGGCTTGTTTATGAAAGTGAGCCAAAGACCTAAAGCATTTGGTGGACTCTGTAATGCCTGTGAGCTCTCCATATGAGTATTGGAAATGTTTAATGCCCTACTGTTACCATGCAAAAATAATCTCATTTGTGTCCTGTACTCACATAGCAGGAGTATGTGTAGGAGCACTGAGTGCAGTAAAATATTTTGGCTCTGGCACTGAAACAGTATTTTTTGAATGCAGAATAAATATTGCTATGTGAGAGTGTCGAGTTTTTTCTTAGGAAGGTGCAAAGCACACTGCAACGTTTTAATCACTTCTCTGTGGATAGCTGAAATGGAAACAGCTGAAGTGGCTGGAGCAGTTTCCAGGCCTTTCACACCTCAAGTGGGATGTCTGGAGAGCTTGCTGAAAAAAAAAACCCAACAAGAAAGGCTTTCATAAGAAAGAGTCTTGCACTCACTACTGATAATATGCCTGTTATCTCTTCCAGGCCTTGCATGGTATCTGCTACTGATAAGTCTGCCATGCAGCAAAGACAGAGCGATGTTCCTTTTACAGAAATGTGGGCAGCAGCTGAGACTATGATTTTACCTAGCTACATGTTTGCAGAGGACGAACTTTTCGTGGCAGGGTCCTTCATTTGAGTGTGACAATAGCAAAGTGGATGGCTTGCACTGTGCTTTTTTATACTTAAGATGAAATTTCTATTACATATAGAGGCTCAGACTCGATCTTAGTGAGTTCAGGTTGTCTCTTCCTATTTTAATTGTCTTCATTCCTGTAGATTTCATAGTCTGTTACTTTCTTTCCTTCTTCTTGAACTCCTCTGAATTTTTCTGAATTGCCAAAAGACAAATTCTCACCCTGTTTGCACTCCCCTCTGGGAGTGTGAGGGTGGTGAGAGAGACAGAAAGAGGTACAGATACAGATAAACAAAAAATGTACATGCACACCTAGCTTTGCAGTATCAGCACTAAAAGACTGCCCTAAGGTTGAGCTTAATATCCACAATATGGTCCTTTTTCTCACACTACAGAGAGCTGGAAAGGCAGACAACAGCTGCCAAACAGCAGCTGAAGTTTGGAAGATGAAGTGTACCTTGTGTGAGCATTGTCCCTCAGTGCAGCTTTGATTATTACACTCAGCAGAATGTAGAAATCAAAATTGAGTTTTCTTTTCCAAATCACCAAAGCATTTTATCAATTTGTTGTGGTTTAGCCCCAGCTGGCAACTAAACCCCACACAGCCACTCCCTCATTTCCACCCAGTGGGATGGGGGAGAGAATCAGCAGAGTAAAACTGGGAAAACTCATGGGTTGAGATAAGACAGTTTAATAAGTAAAGCAAAAGCAGTGCACATAAGCAAAGCAAAACAGAATTAGTTCACTCCTTCCCATTGACAGGGGGTGTTCAGTCATCCCCAGAAAAGCAGGAACTGCAACGTCAGTCCAACGGGCCAGGAGTGTTGCAGGGGAGAGGACTTTGCTTTCTTAGCCTCTTCTCTTCTGTCTTCCTTAGTCTTGTATTCTTCTTCAGCTTATTTTCATGAGTTAAGCCAGAAATATTTATGTGGGTCAAAGCAGCAGAGCCTCTTATGCATTGGAGTTTTGATTTGTGCTTCACAAATTTTCAGTATTGAATCTCTAAAAATAAGCCTTCTTGCCTTATGCGCTGCTGAGGCTTTGAACTTGACTATCTAATTACCATGAATTTAAGCTGCTCATTACGTATTTACAATTACATGAAGTTTCACTGACGCACTTGAGCTTATACAGAGCTTTAGTCTTTATTTCACCAGAAACATTTGACTGAATTAATGAATTGAATTTTGCTTTCTGGTCCTTTTTTTCCCAGTGTTTGGTTTTCTTCCAGAGTCTGTTGCATAACTGATTCTTAGAAGGAAAAATCTTCTATTTCTCTATCCTGCAAGATCGTTTGCTTTAACCACAGCTGTAAACTAGGGTGCTTTTCAGCGAGTTTACCTTGCTGTCAAAAGGCTGGATGTAATCTCTAATTTATGCTGGTTAATTCCTGGAGAGAGCCCTGTCTTAGGAACTGACTTTGATTGCAATAGGGGTTTTAAAGGGTTCCTACCCAGTGACAAAGTAGTGGAAAATCACTGCTGGGTTTATCTCTGGCCTTGCTGACTGTCTCCTGATGGGCATGCAGAAACATCTGTTCCTAGGCAGCTGCAGCAGTGCAGCCTGACCACCTGCAGCAGGACCTGGTGCAACACTCATGCCCTTGAGAAGTCCTGTAAGCAAGAGGGTCTAAAGTGCCTGCCAGGCTGCAGGGGAACCCCGAGGCCTGATAAGGGATGTTGGGGGCGTTACGTGAAGTTTAGCTTCAGCTGTCAAGGGTGTTGCTAATGCTGGAAGGATGGTATTGCTGGCCCTCTAGGAGTGTGTATCATTCACATCTCTTGAAGAGCTAAGGCAATACCTATTTTGTCAGTCTGATGTCTGTAATGTCTTCTGTGGTGGATCAGAAATGGGAAACGTCAGGGAAAAGGCCATTGAAGGCAATGTAGCCCAGATTTCTGGACCAGACAGCTTTGCTCTTTCTCTAGTGGCTCCTCCCAGTCGAGGTGAAGCACTTTCCTGGTCAGCAGCAGTGAGGTGGTTGTGTTTTAATTCTAAAGGGAGTTTTCAAAAACAGTTCCTCTTTATTGGAAACGAGAAGAATGCAAAAGCAACCTGATGCTACTCCATGCAAACTTGTTCTGACCAATGATGCATCAGGGAGACATGACATGGTTTGACCCCGCTAGAATCTGTCCCTTTTTTACTGTTTTTTAGTCTCCTCTTTTCCTGAGACCAGTTTTCAGCCAATGAGGGTGGTAACTAGTAAGCAGAGCTCTAGGATTGTATGGCTAAGCTGTTTAACTGTTCGAAAATTTTAGTGTGGATCTGTGTTCTGTAATCCTCTTGCTTCCTGTACTTCTGATACTTCGGGTACAAGATCATAGTTGCAATTACTTAAACTTTCTCTTTTTGTAGTTCCCCTCATGGTATTAGATCTAGATGTATTAGCAGTAGTGCTCAGAAGCCAAAACTGTGAATTCGCCAACACGGATAAACATCGTTTTAATGCCCTGAGGACAGTTATGACTCGACTGTTTTGTGAGCAGAAATAGCACCTTGTAGATCACTGGGTGTGATTAACTTGAATGTATTTATGTGTAATAACTTAGTCATGTTTGCTGTGGGAATTAGAATTTGGTATTTCATGACTAGTTTAAAGCTTCTTTAATGTGACCTTTAGCTCTTTCCTTTGAAAAATGAGCAGGGGAAAATTTTAAAAATAGTGATCATCAGGCTATAAAGGCTGAAGTCACGAGTGTGTTGTGGTTCACATTTTGAACTTAGGTTGCAGCACAGAGCTCAGCAGGTGAAATCCTGCCCTTTTTATCTGCTCTCCTAAGCTGAGACATGGGTTCTCCTAATGTCAGAGTTTTGCCAAAAGCAAATTTAGGGCTAGAACTGAGCCATGAACTTGAAAAGTGAAACTGCTGGTCAAGACTTCATTGGACCTGGTCGAAACTGAAAGGTCTGCGTAGAGGTAACAAAACCTCTGTGGTCTTGAGAGCTCCTGGGTGTGAGACTGACTACCTAGACAGGCTTGTTCTCCTCGTATGTGTTTAGTTGGGATTTTGTTCTAACATTTTTGGTAAGTTAAATCTTTGTTCCTCTTATATAATTTAATAAACCAAACCAAACAGTGCTGTCTTCCACAGTATTCTTCAACTAAAACTTAAGTCTCATCGAAACAAAAGAAGCAGGAATACATTTTTTCCACATGGAAATGATATTATGTGGAAATGTGGTTTTAGTGGATGATAAATCTTACAGACCTCTTCTGTCTTAACTTAGTAGTTAGTGGACAGCTTTAGAAAGTTGTAGAAGCTTACACTGATTAATGAAATGCTACGTGACAAGTAACCATAAGAATCATATTTCCTTGTTTATGCAAAGACAGAAAAATTCCAATGGAGTGAATAGATCATTGCTCCAAAGACAAACCTAACTTTGACAAAAAGAACACCAAGGACAGTAGTTCAGTCTCAAGCAGGTACAGAAACAAAGTTTACTTAGGTAGGATCTCAAGTGAAGTTACTGTATAAGAGAGAGCGAGGAGAGAGGGATTGTAGAGAGTGGGAATCCAGCATTGTAGTGGATTATATGTCTGACTGTAAACAACTGAAGAACCGTTCCTGACATTCTATATACTTGTTGCTCTTTGGAAGAGAGATGATATCCCTCTGAAAATGTCCAATTCACCTCTGTATTATGCTAAGTATAGTTACATGTATGTAGTTAGGAAATCAAATAAGCTCGAAAACAAAGAGGATGGGATAGTGGAGGTGCAAATCTGTTATCATGCTCAGAACTTGGTATCTATCTCATAGGTTTTTATCAAGACAATCTGTATGCATTAGATAAGATTTGTAAAAATTGTAAACAAACTCTGGAAATTGTTCCTTTTTTTACCCTTT